CAATGCCAGACCCAATGCAGAGCAGTTGTATCCAGTTACAAAGGCTAAAGGGAGGAATTGCAGACCGTCTGTTCTGAAAGAGCAGGGCCCACCGAGGAAGAAAGACATGATCCCAGGTGGGATGCTATGGTCAAGATCAAAGCTTGGTAGCATATTGTAGAGAAAGTTGCAAATGATGGAGGTGAAGAGGAGGTTCGTGGGATTCAGTGTATAAACTCTGGACTGGAGAAGTGCGAAAAGCCCCGGTGCAGAGTCGAAGCCCCAGATGGTGAACGGGGTTCAGCATATTCAAGGCTTATGTCTTGGCAGAACCATAGACCAAAGATCCATAGTCCAGTTTAGATCGAATCAGGGCACGATAAATCCTGAGCATAGAACATCAATCTGCTCCCCAAGAGGTGGAAGAGAGGACATGGAGGATGTTCAGAGCCCTTGTACACTTGACACGTAACTGCTTGATGTGTGGAATGAGGGTAAGCTTATGGTCAAAAATAAACCTGAAGAACTTTGCCTCAGAGACCACACGAATAACAATGTCACCAAGACAGAGCTCGGGATCAGGGTAGACACCCCGTTGGCGGTAAGAATGCATGCAAACGGTTTTGGAAAAAGAAAATGTAAAACCATTTGCAGTGATACAAGTCAACAAGCGATTGAGGGCAGTCTGAAGCTGCCACTCAATAAACCTCATGATAAACGACGGACACGAGATGTGGAAGTCATCAACATAAAGCTCATTTGCAATAGTTGGAGAAAGGTGAGTAGTGATAGTATTAATTTTGAAACTAAAAAGTGTGACACTCAAGAGACAGCCCTGAGGGACTCCAAGTTCCTGCAGAAAGGAATGGGAAAGAGTTGAACCCACATGGACTTGGAATTGCCAACCTCCATGTAGTGTCACAAGCTTTCTCAAAACCAAAGAACACGGAAACAAGATGTTCGCTACTGAGAAAAGCTACCCTGATCGACATTTCAAATCGAATCAGATGGTCCACAGTGGAATGCTGTAGACGGAACTCATACTGGATGAGCGAGAGGAACGTGTTTTGATTCGAGGAACCAAACAAGATGAGCATTAACCATCCTCTCTAAGACCTTACAAAGACAGCTAGTCAAAGTGATGGGACGATAATTAGTAGGAATCTTAGGATTCTTTCCCAGGTTTAGAGAAAGAGAGGAGAATAGCCTGATGCCAAACATCAGAAAAACATGCTCTTGCCACATCCAGAAGAACAGCAAGAGAGATGGCGCAGCATCTGATAATGAACAACATCAGGTCCGACCGATGTATTACCATATCAATGAAAAGCAAGTTTGAGTTCCACCAGTGTAAAGGGGCAATTATAGTCATAGAAACGATCGGCCCAAAAAAAAAGAGGCGATTGCTCTGCCCAAGAAGACAGGGGAAGAAACAGAAGTGCTAGATGCACGAGAAAAACTGTGGCCGAGATCATCAGCAATGCTCTGGAAATCAGCAAGAAATCAGAGAAAGATGGAAAGCATACCTCCCAGTGGCTTTTCGAATCTTGTCCCATATGGTTTTGGAACTGGTGGTAGAAGAGATGCTAGTAGTGAACTTAATCCAAGTCTCTTTTTGACTTTGACGTCGAGCCTGCTGAGCATGAGTATGGGCCTGCTGATAAACTATGCAGTTAGAAAGAGAGGGATACCATCAGAAGGTATCCCAAGAGATAACAATTTGAGAGATTTCAGCCTCTCCTCATATGACA